GTTACCAGAATAAGGGCTTACAGTGACCTGCTCGGGTGTGTGAGAAGTGCAAACTTCTCTGTCTTCTTTTTACCAGGGCTGCCTCTACTGGGTTGGGGTTGGACTAGGTGACCTTTAAAGGTCCCTTCCAACCCAAACTATTCCATGATTCCACGCACGATGTCTCCTCCCTGTTGTGGAGACCAGCTCCTGTCACAACAGGCATCCCCAGATCTCCCTCTGCAGCTAGAGAAGGGACAGAACTGTGATTATACGCAAATAATTGCATCTTTGCTGATGGGTTTCTTACTGTAAAAGTAGCCAATCTTTCTAATAGGCAAGTGCTCACATAGGAAACCACAGGGTTACCTCTCTGGGAAGCCAAGCAATTTAGAAAGCAAAGTCATAATGAGCACATAATAAAATGATCAGCAACAGGAATGGGCAGAGCAGGGTGGGGAAACGGTCAGATGCTTCACCAAACAGCAGAGAAACCTGTGCAGAGGAGGGTCTGCCCCTGCTCTGCCCCACCACAACCACCCTCCCCCTTCTGTGACTCATTTTGGGTTAAATCAGCAAGGAAATTCAGATAAAGCAAATTTCAGCCATTCACCATTTAACTCAATTGACTTCAGCAGAATGACTCTTGATCTAAACAGAATCAATATTTCCATAGAGAAACAGAAGGAAGCGTCCAGTTTTTGGCGGTGATCAGTGTAAATCCACAGAGGCTCTGAAGTCAGCTGAGTCATTACAAGTGACTAAAGAAATGACCTTCCTTCATCAAGGAAACACAGAGATTTCTGTCTGGAGTATTTTTCTTTTCAACTGTCATATATGAGAAATCACTGTACTCAGGGGCACTCTCAGTACGAGGCAGTCAGCACAAACCCCATGTTCACCCACTCACAGGAACAGCATCAGCCAGGTTAAAGAACAGAGCACGATGAGTCTGCTCCACTTTCTCAGCAGCTTCAAGGACACTTACGGGCACCTTCAAATCACCATCCACAAAGCAGCCTGCATGACTTGATCCTCAAAGGACCCTCTGTGGCTTCAAAAGCCTCCAAATCTGAAGTGAGATGACACGCAGAGTCCCCTGTAACGCTGTGAGCATGCCAACTCCTCCTGCAATCTGCCACCTTCACACAGAAGGATGGATCAAATAATCACTTCTGCTTACAAAGATAGCAATTTCTTTTCATATTCAAGGTGCCAATCTGTGTTACTCTCTATAAAAGCCTTTAAACCCTTTGAAAAACCAAGATCTTCATTTACTATTTACTATGAGGCGCTGGCACAGGTTGCCCAGAGAAGCTGTGGCTGCCCCATCCCTGGCAGTGTTCAAGGCCAACTTGGACACAGGGGCTTGGAGCAACCTGCTCTAGTGGAAGGTGTCCCTGCCCGTCGCAGGGGGTTGGAACTGGGTGAGCTTCAAGGCCCCTTCCAACACAAACCAGTCTGGGATTTAATGATCTAAACCCAATACATCTTAGAAATTTGACAGAAGAGAACTTCAGTGCTATTTGCACAAGTGTTGGGGTAATAGAGGTTTTGTATAGCCTGATCAACTGTGCACACATAATCTTGAGTGATGTACAAGGCACTAGTGTACACAAACACTTTCTTGCTCCTTATTTTTGTAACCATCAATATGAATAGTATAGGAGACTCACAAAACACGTGCAACTAGAACGTGCTAGAATGGGTTAAAAGAAATCAACCATTTGTAGATATTAAAGATATTTAACAAACACAGCATCCATACTGCAGGTGTTCCCAAGTGTTCCAAACGCCCCAGGAAAGTAGGAAAAAATGTTTCTATATAAGCAAATAGTACAGATCATCTGCTAATTTGAATACTTTTGATGTTGAACGGAAGAGTTAAAGTTCACCTGATGCAGAAATGATGACTAATCCCTTATAATGCTTCACACCAACATGAACTGCAGTGGGTTCAGACATTGAACTGAATTCAGGATTAACCTGCCCTTCAATATCATATCAAATATTAAACAACTGGATTCAAAATCCTTAATGCTAATTTCTCAGTCCATTGACCAGCAATATACTCACTGTACAGCAGGAAATCATGTAAGAGAGAAAAGCTGGCTTGATCCTTCAAGAGCTCTTTGTCACCTATCCTAACAGAGCACATCCAGCATTTCCTACTATAAAGCGTCTGTTCTCCTAAATCCAACCATTTCTTAGGCCCCAATGTTAATTGTACATTAAGAAAAGAAATACAGCTACAAATTGTCATCACCTATATTTGCCAAAAAGCACAACGTGCTTTCAGTAAGAATAACTGTTAGTAAATGCATTTTTCCACTTGTTTTATTTTCATGGTCTTATCTAACAAGCAGCATAGCCTGCTCAGGATGTGGAGCTGTAGGTCCAACACAGAACTTGGTATCAACTAGGAGTCTCATCAGTAAACAAAAGAAATGTAAGGTGAATCTTTGAAACACACTCAAGAGCAGATGCTGTTGCATTTTAAATACAAACACAGTTGTGGAGACTACTTCCAGAACTTGATATCAACTAGGAGTCTCATCAGAAACAAAAGAAATGTAAGGTGTATCTTTGAAACACACTCAAGAGCAGATGCTGTTGCATTTTAAATACAAACACAGTTGTGGAGACTACTTCACCAAGTGATGTTTTCTTTACAGCTAAAAACAGCATCTCAGATCAGGACAAGTGATCTGGAAGGATGACTTGTCTCTGCAGAACACTTCTGCATGCTGCAAGCGAGTGTGACCACAGACTCCATAACACAACCTGAAGATGAAGCCATTGCCTTGGCTGCCTCTGATACAGCAGTTTACAAAGGCATCTCCTATAATAATTCTCCTACAATAATCTGTTCAAACCCTAATTCCACCATGAACCACACAGCTTCTAGTAAATCTGCTCCAGGCCCTAAATATGAGAATCCTAACCAGGTATCCAGCTAACACGTGCCCGAGGCCAAAAACCCAGCAGTTCTGAGAAATCACTTGCCTGCATTTTCTACATGTGTCCTGAAATGGAGCTGGTCTATCATCACTGCCTACCAACCACACAAAGCTGTTCAGGGCTTATGGCTCCTCCAAGTATTGGGATCACCTGTGGATCAGGATTGCTAAGGAGGGAAATCATTTTCTTCTCATATCTTACCAAATCTTCTCAAATCTCTTCTAAATCTCTTCTTTCTGCTCCTCCTCGCAGGCCTGTTCACATGAACCTCATCTCCCGGAACTTCCAATTTCCAAGTGGGATATCAGAGACAGTAAAAAGCTGTTCCTACTGTACCATGTGTCCTGAAATGGAGCTGGTCTATCATCACTGCCTACCAACCACACAAAGCTGTTCAGGGCTTATGGCTCCTCCAAGTATTGGGATCACCTGTGGATCAGGATTGCTAAGGAGGGAAATCATTTTCTTCTCATATCTTACCAAATCTTCTCAAATCTCTTCTAAATCTCTTCTTTCTGCTCCTCCTTGCAGGCCTGTTCACATGAACCTCATCTCCCAGAACTTCCAATTTCCAAGTGGGATATCACAGACAGTAAAAAGCTGTTTCTACTGTATAGACACAGCCACTTCTCTCTTCTATATTCAGAGGTGGATACATACAAAACAAAGGAAAGGAAGGAGCCAACGAAAAGACAAGCCTTTATCAGGATGTGGGAAAATATTAGGAAGTCAGTAAAAGCTGAAGCATGTAGTGCATGAGTAGGTGGAAAGAGAGAAACACAAACTCTTCCTGCTTCATCATGCTCACACCTGGTTCCCCCACTCCCCAGCTCCCAGTCTGCTCCTCTGCTGTGACCAGAAGAAACTCACAGCACCTCAGCATCTTTCTCATCATGATGATCAATTAAACAATGGTGTTTCAAATGATAAAGTGCAGCAATACACAGCCAAAAAACTGGACCCTGTCAGAATACTGCTCCTCCCATGCTTTTGTAGCTAAACAGCATCCTCCCATCGGGTCCTCTTCATTGCCATTCTAAGGTCTTTGAATCTCCCTTTAAATGTTAACTTTGTGCAAGCACTTACAAAGTCAACTGTTCTCCTCTCTTGCCAGACCATAGCAAGCCATACCCTAAACTTAGTCCCCGGCATCCTGAATAGTAATCAAGAGGTCTGGAGTAGAAGCACAGAGGGAGGAACATCAGCATTGCTTCAATAAACTCTTCAGCTGCTGATTCTAGTTAGCCAGAAATAGAATGAAAAGTATTCATAGCATCACCTGCCAGTATGGTGGCAATCTTCTGGCCACCTGCATGTCCCTGTTGTGTCCTGCTTGTGGAATAAATACTTTGGTTCCAGAGAATCAAAGTAACTAAGAGGAGGCTCAGAGCTTTGCACACCTAGTTCCCACCTTATAGTAACGGCAAGGATGCATACAGGAAAGGGTGGTTCAGCCTATACATCCTCAGCAGTACAAGCAGTCTGTTTACATATGACTGTCACAACCTGGCACTGAAGTCACAGCAGTCAGCAATGTTTTCAGCCCTTTTTCAGGGGACATAAATCACTCTCAGCTGTGAAGGAACTACAAGCATTTGGCTTCCCAGAACAAACTGGTACTTTTGGGTTACTAGACACAACTGTGCTCTGCAGAAATGAAATCAGAAATAAAACCAGCGTGTGTGATGCTTTACAAAGTGGTGCTTCCAACGCCTCCGAAACGCTGCAGCTCGCTATTTCTTGGAGCCATTTTCCTTGCCTGACTTCCAGAGCACTGGAGAACATGGAGCTGGCAGGCGGATTATGTTACTACACCGAACTGCATTTACAAACATCAACTGCAAACTGCAGCTGTCCTATTGCAGGGGCCAAGTTACTCACACGGAGCGTGCTACCCGCCTGGGTAATAAACTGTGCGGCCTCTTCAGAGCCAGCTCTTCTCCAAGGAGCAGAGCAGCCCAGCTCTGCCAACGCCCTGCAGACAGCACTGCCCAGTTCAAACACAGGGAAGCAACAGGATGCAAGGAAGGACCTTTTGCTTTGGAATTCGCTCCTACCAGACTCAAACTGTTGACACTCCGAGAGGCTATGCAACCTGCCTGGTTTCCAAAGCTTTTCATAGAAGTAAAGATAGTTTATTTAGATTGTATTTTAATTTGTAGTTAAATTTGTATTAAAAAAAAACCCAACAAAACAACAAAACGAAACAAACCCAAAAAACAACTAACCAAGCTGCTAGCAAGCAAACAAGAATATACCTACAAAAAATCCTCATATATATGTGCATATGTAATTTCCACCCACCTTAAAAAAAACCCTCCTGCCCTTATGTATTGTCCTGTTCCATTTGCACTGCAGGATAATGTTCACTGTGCATAGACTCACAGAATAGCTAGGGTTGGAAAGGACCTTAACACCATCTAGTTCCAACCCCCCTGCGAAGGGCAGGGACACCTCACACTAGACCATGTCACCCAAGACTCCGTCCAACCTGGCCTTGAACACTGCCAGGGATGAAGCACTTATCACTTCTTTGGGCAACCTGTTCCAGTGCCTCACCACCCTCACAGTTAAGAACTTCTTCCTTATACCTAACCTGAACTTCCCCTGTTTAAGTTTAAACCCATTCCCCCTTGTCCTACCACTACAGTCCCTAATGAAGAGCCCCTCTCCAGCATCCTTGTAGGCCCCCTTCAGACACTGGAAGCTGCTCTGAGGTCTACAGCAGCTTCTCTTCTCCAGGCTGAACAGCCCCAATTTTCTCATCCTGTCTTCATACGGGAGGGTGCATGTTTTAATCTCAAAGATAAAACAAGCACCCTCAGGAATGACACACAACCAATGAACAAACACTGCTATCAGCATCCTGCTCTCCAACTTCAGTGATCCATGTGCGCTACATCACAGCTCCTCAGTTTGGTCTCGAAAGCATCAACACATGCACCTTTGCTGCTGAAGGATGCAGAAGCCAGCGCACAAGCTCAAGAAAGGAACTCTTCAAGGGTTGCAAAAGTTAAATAGGAAGAGTCTTTCATTTTTTGCCATGAAGAACTGCAATAGTTGAAAAGGGAAAGCTCATCTGATAAACAGAAACTCACAGTGTCACCAGTGTAATTGGGTTTTGAGAAAAATATTTACACTACAGCTGAATCGAGCTGCTTTGCAACCAAACCCCAGCAGAACTGCAACAGCCGCTTGCAAATTAGCAAGCAAGTGAACAAAAAACCACCCCCCTCCCCCAAGGATAATGCAGCATAAAACATTCTGCATTCATTTATTTGGCATAGTGCAGTTTAATTACTTGTGAAAATAATTACTCCTTTGTACAGGCTCTGGCTAACATGGGTTGTGGGTGCTCTGTGTTTTGCTGAGTGGTACAAGCTGTGTGCCAAATTCGCGTGCATGGATTAGGCTGCGTGCACTTAAGCAGAGCACAGAAAAGAGGTTGTACAGTGTCCATTGTGTTTTCACAGCACATATATGACATATACTCCCTTCATGGCATTTGCTTTTCTGTATTTTGAGACTCAGTATTTCTCCTCTCAATAGGGATTTTCAAGCTTCGATCCCATCTCATTGCTGAAAAGGATAACATAAATCTCTGCTGGGGAATCAGGACATGCCTGTTTTGCAGTTGTGGCCTTCCCCATGTCACACAGCACTCCCACCACTCTCCCACTGAGAAAGGGGTCCACGACCTCCAGCATCCACAGATTTCTGTTTGAAGGGCTGCATGGAGGTAGCAGGGTTTTCAGAGGCATGGAATATATTTATACACTGTATTTCCATGCAGCAGTCCAAGAGGAAAACTAACCTTACTGAACAGTTTAAGGATATTCTAAGAACAACAGGAGCTGTGATTTTGATGGTAGCATTACTGAAGTTGCTAGTGTCTTACTTTCAAAGATGAACTGTAAAGGTCACCAGAGAAATCCCCTGGATTACACCAGCAGCATCTGTTAAAGGGAATGGCACAGGGCAATGTCACGTAATCCAAGTTCTCTTCTCCACTAAGCGAGAATTGCCATTACAGTATTGGAACTGGTTGTGAAATACTCCACAAATACATGAATAGCTGTTTTAATAGTATTTTTTACTTCCTATTTGTTTTTAAATTACCAGCTCCGTGCACATTCAGACTGCAGAATTTGCTACAATCAAGTTTTGGCCAACTTAAGCTTCTTGACAGTATGAAAAGCCTGTTGGTTAATCTCACCTTGGAGATCTTTGCTGCAGTTATAGGATGAATTTGCACATTCCAACTTTACAAGACGTAGGAAGAGTTGTGTGTTTTCACTGCATGACTGTCAAACTCAATGGAGAAATCAGTAACACTGTCATCATCTCTGTATTAATCCCAGCCAAGGGTGGCAGAAGAAAAGGTTAGAGTATAGCTCGTCTCACGCCACCTTCTCCTTCATCCTCACTTTTTATGCGGTTGGTTCAATTTAAAGATGAAACTTACATGCAATCACTCCAGCAACACAGATTACACCTTCTGCCCTCTAATACTCTGCCCAACAACTATAGAAAGGAGAATAACTTACAACTCGTAATGAAGAGATGTTGTGTGATAATGCAGACAACACAGCAGAAAAGACGATTCAGAAAAACAAAACTAATAACAAAGCTTAAGAGACCCAGGCATCAGAATAAGGCACATACAGACCCAATCTTTTCTCCTGTACGAATAACATCTTTGGGACTTACCTAAGCTATTTGTCTTTATGAACCTCAGCTTTTAAAGCTAGATCTCCAAACATATGCTGTTCAAAAAGAACTTGTCATCTACCAAAGGATTCCTTTTAAAACACTGCAGTAAATGCTCACACCACTAGTTACTTGCTACCAGTGTGTAACATCTGGCTGCTTCTTAAGACCACTAAGAGAACTGTTTCTGCTGTTAAATACTTGCATTAATTCTTACCTTAATATTTTACTTACACTGGTAAAAATCTCTAACAATATTTTGTCTTATTTCAATATCATTATCAATATTTCTTTAACCAAAAAACTCCAAATCTATAAAGAAAGAACACAACAGTCAACCAGTACCACGAAGCCCATTAGTTCTCCTCTTTTGGGCAGCTGTGCTTGTTCACAGAAAAGCCTTTTCATTTATGTTTGTATAAGGTCTTAATTAGTTGCTATTCCAGTGACTCGCTTTGGGCTTTAAGAGACAGCTGGAAGCAGAACACTCTGCAACAGAAAAAGAGAACAAAACTATACGATTGCATTTCTCCTAAACCCCAAGGACCTGACCCCCATTGTTGCCAGCAAGACAGGTAAAAGCAAAATAACAGCAAAATTGCCTTTAGGGGTAGAGAATAGCTCTTGGGCACTCTTCAGTGATAACGTGCAAAGACAAGCATGATAAAGAGTGGAAAACTAGCAGAGGAATCATCAAATTGTCCTTACTCTGTCAAAAGCTGGTGCAGTTTCTGGTAGCCCCTCTCCAAGGCCAAGCTCACAGGCGTTGCCCCTTCGTTGTTGTGGATGCTGAGAGCTCCTCTTCCCCCCGGCTGCTGGAGCAGAAACCACGTCAGCCGCAGCAGACCCAGCCTCACCGCAAAATGCATCAGTGTTTCCCGAGGGATGTTCTCTGGGAAGGAACAAGAAGGGGGAAAATTAAATAAATGGGCATTTGTAGGCTGTGGGTTACGTGAATGCCATATCCCACCTCCCAGAAACACCACACACAACGGCTGGCATGGAGCTGACGGCCCAAAAGCCAAGGAACCTGCAGCACCTGGAAAAACACACTGCCTGCCAATATCCAGGAGACCAGTAGTTTGAAGTGAGGGATGTGTTACGGTGGGACTGGAGGTGCTCGGGACCACAGAAGTCAATGTGAAAACACCCCCATTTCATAAGCAGTGCTTCCAAATAGAACCTGGCATGGTCAGGTGGGCTTTTCTACATGTCCAAGACTTCTCCTCACACACCCAGGACCAAGTTTTAGGAACAGACAAGTTTTGTTCTTTAATAGGACGCTGATTTGTCCCAGGGCATGAAAAAAATCAGTTACATTTGAAGCAAAAATCTAAAGCAATCAGGGAAGAGAACAGGTTAACTTCTCATATAGACAAAAAGAGAGGATTTTGCTTTCCTGGTTTAATTATGCCTCAGACCAGCTTTTTTCCACTTTACACAGTAGCTCTATCATTGTGAGTAGCAGCATTTATAAACTAGCAATCTCCACTGCTGCTTTTTATGTTTAATAACCGTGACCTTCTAATTTGGTAAAACTCACTCTTGAGCCTAAAGCTTTCATCTCAGAAAAAGATCCCCCTACTCTAAAAGCTGCAGCCCTAGAACAACGCTCTGAAAAGCTTCAACCAGAAATGAGCTCCAGATGCACTGCTGAAATACAGTATTTTCAGATCAAAGCCTGTTACTTCTGTATGAAGGGCAAAAGCATGTGGGTTAAAAAAAAAAACCTGTGAGAAATAAAGATTTGTTCTTTTAATTAACAAAGGATTTCAGTATTGACTGGCAGCAACAACAACAAAGCACAAACTGGGTCTCAGTAAACCATGCCAATGAACACACTTGGTATAATATATTTAACATCATAGCAATGATTTATTGGGTTATTAATTTGGTTGCCAGCCAAACCTATACAGCAGATTTAAAAATGCAAGTACATAATGGCTTTAGGATTTAATTATTTTTCCCCCCTCAAGAAATATATGCCCAAGAGGAATCACTTCTTCAAAGCACTGTTGTTTTTCTTGCTTACTTGCTTTCTTAAGGGACATCATTATGACTTTCAGTGCAAAACAAAGCCAAAAGAGGCAGTTCTTCCCTACCTGACACACAGTTTTTCCCAACCTTCTGGATCCATTCCTGAAGAGCTAATCTGTATTCGAGAACCAAAAGCTTTCTGGCACCATCTCTCTTCTGAATGACTCCAAAATTAGGTCTCTGGGCTACAAACCAATCCTTCCCCACTAACCTCCTCTTGATTACCGTAAAGCAAAACCATGCTGCCCTGAATACGTGATGTGTCTGAAAGGAGGTTCCAGCTGATCAGAGAGAAAGAGAATAAATAGCTGAGTTCACTCAGAGACAAATTCCCAGCCTCTGGGAGAGTAATGACAAGGATTCGGGTATTAAATGCTATAGAGTGTAATGATTTAGAAATAAGCACCACAACAAGGTAGTTAATCAGTGATTGTCAGCCTTGGATTTAAAGAAAAATGAAAAGTAACACACCGTGTAGGCAGACATAGGGAAAGGCTACTGATGAGGCTGCCAAACAAGGAAGCATGGACATAGGTAGTCCCAGAGCGAAAGCAGATGCCCAAGGTTTCACTTTATGTACTTGTACTAGCATATTACCTGTACACTGGCAGAGTCAGTCAGGATAATTAAAGCAGAACAACTCTTCCTACTGAGATGCAGGAAGCACAAAAGCACTCCTTTTAGAGAATAGGACTGCCCTCCGAATAAAAAATGTGCTGCACTGCTCTGACCACATCTGTCCTAGCACAGGACCTCCTGTTCTAGCTGCTTTCGTTAAAGGGAAAATCATCTTCCTATTTAAAATAGACAGCCCTGCAGCAAAACTGAGCAGCACAGAGCTGCAAAGCATAAGCATGGGTCCTTGGACCAAAGTGCTCCTTCCCAGTTCAGCTGAGAGCCCTACAGTTAGGCAGAAGCATCTTCTGCTCACCACCTCATGGCTCACCAATAAACACACATACCAATTGCAAGATGCAGACAAATACCCATCCTGTCTCTGATCCAACTGGGTGCCCCTCTCTGTCTCATATTTCCATAGATGAAATGCTCTCTCCCAGTTGTCCCAAATGCCCATGTAATGCGCTTGGATGACTGCAACTTCTGAAACCCACCTTTTTCCCATTCTTTTAAAACAATCTTCTTTATCATCAAATTACTGGACACAGTAGTTCCAGCATTTAGATACAGGTGTATGCAAATGCAACTGAACTGAATGTGGCTGTACCCCAATGCCTCTGAGCAACAACGACGTGCACAGAAGACCTGTACAAAAGAACATGGCATGTTGCCATCCAGAACATATTACACATACAACCTCACTATCCAGGCCCATTTGGAAGGCTCTGCCTAACACAGACCCTGGCACAAGACCATCCTAACAGATGGGCACAGGTGATGGAAGCAAAGAGACGAAGTATTGTACATACAACAACTGCAGAGGCCCCAGGAAGTGGCTTTAGAAGGTTCTGGAGTGTGCAAAACTTGCATGGCTGCAATTAAAAAGGCATGTGCCATCTGTGGGATTAACTACTAATACATAATCAAAAATACATCTTGCTGCTCAGCACAAGACGAGAGCTGGTCTGCATCAAGTACAGTGTTGCTGGATGGACAGGGAAGAAGACAGATCCCTCCAGCCTTCCTGCTTTTGACAAGATGAAGCTTATAGCACAAAATGTTGGAAATTCAGCCAATAATTTCAGGGTCTTGCCATAGTGCAAACTGCATGTCCCAGGCATGGATGAGTAACACAATCTTTAACATGCAATAGCCAGAGCTCCTTTTCCTACCATGTATCAAGCATGAGCTCCTCATCTTAAAATGGCTGTCTTCTGAATGTCAACAAAAAGCTTCTTGTCATTAGGAAACTGTGGAAATACAAGGCACACACTCTTGGAAAGGCCAAGGTTGTTTTGTTCCTTCCTTGTTTCCTAGTAATAGGCAGGAGTTGAAACATATGATTATTGTCCCATAATGGCAGGGCACTCGAATCCAGCTGGCAAAACCTAAGACTTCAGATATATTATTTTTACATCTTTTTTTTAGCTGTGACATATGAACAGACAGTTTATCTGCGTAACTAAGGACAAAATTTCCACAGAAGCCTGTCAAATGTACTTTGCTAATGGTAAAGGATTAAGGTTTAAAGTACTATTAGCACAAAAAAATAAGCATTGAAGAGAAAAAAAGTTGGGGTATGACACATCCAAGAAAGCACAAACTGTTCTTCAAGTGAAAACTTTCATTTTAATCCTGATTAAATAACAGAAGAAAAATATTGTTCCTTTTTAAAAGTCATTAAAAGTAACCCACACCTAACAGTTTATCCTCCACACCCTTAGACATCTCATGAAGGAACAGCCAGCCAGGGACTGGTTAGCATCTCTTGCTGGTCTCCCTGTGATGCTGACCTTCACTTGGTGCTCACCAAAACCACATATACTCAGCAATTTTGCGATCTACCATCAAATTTGGCCTCAAAATCTTGTTTTCTGCTCAAAATGTTCTCACTGCTCAGCTCGATTCCTGAGAAACAAGGGGAACAAAACCCAGAAACAAGCTGTCACTTAATGCTGAGGTCCTAGAGGAAGGCTCCAACAGGACTGAAGCAAGGTCAAGGCAAAGATGATGTGTTTGGAGTGATGAGTTTAGTTGATAAAAAGATGTGTGGATAATTCTTTTTTTAGTCTTATAAACAAGAAATTTTTCAAAGCACCCCAAAGGCTCTTCCTGCCCCCACTCCCACTAATATCAAAGGGAACAGAAGCTTTCTCACGCCAATGATTCCTCAGCCACAGACTGAGCGGTACATCTGAGTACACGGCCTGAACAAGAGTTATTTTCTGCTTCGCATTTTCCACTGCAGAGGGCATTAAATTTAGGTACAGAAAAGATTTCTTACATCTTATCAAGGACTGTAGCTGAAAAGACCACTTGGCACTGTTGGCACTGAAAAGCTCATGCCAATCTATACCACACGGTCCTTTATCAGAGGACAGAGAAGGTGGTGAGCAGCAGCTTGGACAGGATATGAAACCCAACAAGAATACCTATAAACATTAAATTGCAAGGGTTCAACTAGCAACTATAAAAACAGTGCAGCAGATGAACAGATTAAAGGGTTTATACCTAAAAAACATCATCGGCTGCTTATCTTTGACATCCTCCCATGGAAAACAAGTGTTAGCTCCTAATAATCAAATTTCCTTCTAACTATTTCTGAAAGCTTTTTAAAGTTTTTCAGGCTTTTTTCTTCCAAATAAGGCACTTTTTGTGTTACTTTCTCTTTTCAGACATTCTCTCTTTCTGTTAAAACCCCAAAATTATTTCTAATCACAGTGACACTCACACGCTTTACACTGAAATCCTACTGGTTTTGTAGGTGAAGTTATTAAACTCCTAACCCAAATCCATTCAGACTATTTCAAACCAGGGCAAAGCATTTCCCTCTTTACCCACCTCCTATCTGGTGAGCTCAGGGAGTTTGATTTCTCAAGCAGTATTTACTGCACACAGATGTTTGTTTCACAGCACTTCTGGGAAGCTGTACATATTCAAGACATCAGTAACTGTGTTCCTAAAGTTAAGGAGCTGTTAAATGTTTTCTGTAATGAGATGGTCTCCTGGTTATCTGTTCCTAATTGTGGCTCACTATCAAAGGGACTGCTTCTCCTCAGGCTCCCAGGGGAATGGCTCCATGTGGTTAATTACCACCACCCTCTGCCAACATTAACCCGCTCCTGGAAGGACCATCTCAGAAAGCTCACAAAAGCAACACTGGAACCATAGCTCTGGGTTTCACCACTTTTAATGACAAACATGAAAACACTTGTTTCCTCAAAGGCTTTGTCAGAATATTACTTAAAAGGTATTTTGAAAGTGATCTGTTTACTACTGATAGTAAACTCAAGGATTTAGGTAACTCAAGCTCTCTAAGCTTTTCATACCTGAGCCTTGGATCCTCCCTAACTTTTTCTCTGCTTTTTTTCCCCCCACATCTGCAACACAAACAAGCCATAGTCATTACTCACACCTCCAAATATTGTGTTCTGGTTTTCTAGTTAGCTTATTTTCTCTCCAGACATTTAAAATAGAAAAATCAGAGTCCTGTACTTATATTGCATAGATCCTCAGAATACATATGGCATTTTGATTTCTAGATATGAATGTGTAACAATCTGTTCCGTTTAAACAGCTGCATTTAAATGCCACTGAGAACAGCAAATTATCCTACTTTTGACAGCAGTAGCAACTATGTTCTTTAGAATGTTAGAGTGCACTTGTAATAATTAATATGGACATAATGACACGGCACCTGAAAGTAATGCTGTGTCTGGAATACCATGGTAAGAAGAGTAATCCTTAATTATGGATATTCTGAAACTGTGGATGCCACTTGAGTTCATACAGATGACCAGATAATTAAGAGCAAGAACCTGCAATCTCCAACTGCAGGACAGTGCATGGCTGGGGGAAGAGCACAGCCCTCAGGATACAACTGCCCCAGAACAAAAGCGATGAGGACCGCAGCCGTGCAGGGAGGAGGTGAGCAGACACTTGCCCAAAGGGCTTCAGACACACTCTCTTCCTGCATGAGCTCTCATGAGGAGAAGTTTGAGAGAATAGCTTTTATATATATATATAAAAAGGGGAAAATATTCCATAATGAAATTGTTACCTAGACACCTTATTCAAATTAAATCAGGATCAAATTAGAAGGGCAAAGAAATAAGAAATTTGAGCAAAAGCATCACCTTTTCACAGAAAAGCAAGCAGGAAGAGCTGTGAGACCACTGAGAAATGGTTTAAGAGACAGGATTCTGTTCTCTGAACTTGCTTTTTCCATCAGGATTCATGACATCCAGCCACTGCTCTCCATCACCCGAGTGTTACTGTCAGTGGCGAGACCAGGCTGGGTACCATGCTCCACACCACTGGCTGCTGAACAAAAAGCTTGTCATCAAAGCCCCAGTCTTACAAAAATACAGTCTGGTGTTAAATTTGGCACAAAGGGTTCATTCAAAGCTTTGAGGTCCAAACAAGTCCACTTTTTTTGAATGGATTCTGGGAGAAGAACTAAGGACTTGTGATCACAAATATATTTAGCCTTTTATGCTGTACCAGAGTAATATAAATCAGTAAATATTTGGGTCTGAGCAATGTTAACCAAATACCTACACTAATATTACTGGAAGGATTAGATTAACCAATACTGCTCAGTGCATTTAATTTTGGCACAGTTTCCTTTTAAGCAATAAAACCTTTTTCTGTTCTAGAACAGCGAGGGGGGAGTAAATCAGAATACTGTGAATGAACATAGTGGGGTTTTGAAAATGCCCTGATGAAAATAGCAGAAAAGGTTCATTTTAGTTTCAGTTTGTTTTAATGAAAATGATGTCTGAAGAGATAACAGAGGAATAAATGTAAAGACAACCTAGTGTTTAAGAGATTAAGATTACTGATGCTAAACAAACTTCCCTTGTTGGATAGCAACAGCTAACTTAAGTAGGTTACATACAAACAAAGAAGAAGGGCACTGGAATGTTTGCAGATGTCCTGCAGCAGTTTCCAGTAATTGTGGAGATATTTCTAACCTGCAGCTGAAAGGACATGCTATATGATCGTACCATACCTTTAATCTTGAGCAATGACAAACTCTTAAAGAATGAAGACCCTGGTTTGGTAACCAAAACATAAACAAGCAGATGATTCTCACATAGCTTTGTCCGCAGTAATCCTACACTTTTCCATACTAAAAAGTCAAACTTACTAACATGTTAGAAAAGCGAATGGGGGGAGATGCTGCAGCAACGTAAGGAACAATAATGGATGAATGCAAACCACTGAAGATCTTTTTAATGATGTGGCCACCAGTCTGCTGGTACCCAGGAGCACATGGGATGTTACGTGCCTCCTCCTCAGCGGGATGGACTTTAACCACATGCTGTGCACTGCACACACCTACTGACAGCATCAGGAGACGGAGCTGGGTGTTAATTTCAGCAGCTTCTTTGGCCTTTGGGATGTGTGATGGCAATGAACTCCCCTGCTCAAAGACTGGTCGGGGTTGGGTGCAGGTAAAAGCAAGGAGAAGCTTCCACATCAAGCCACCCTCCTTCAAAATCAGCACAGAGATGGTGGACCATCTATGCACCTTTTGCCTGCAGAAAGGCCATTACTTCCTAACTGTTTTCATAAAAGCCAGACTCCTACTTCAGTCCCTCAAAACAACTTCTAAACATGCCTGACAGCAAGGGCCATCTCAGAACAGCAGTTCCCCGTCAAGCTGCAGCGCTGGGGGAGCTGGCTGAGGCTCCCTGCTCGCTCCTGCGTTCAGAGGTTTTGCTAAACAGCAGCGTTTTGTTTCCAACCCACAAGAGCCCATAGAGACATGCCAGCTTAGAGGCAGAGCTCAAAATCTTTCAAGAAGGGATCTGACATTTTCTTTTGTTCTCATTTCTATACTATGTTCTCCTTTGAGAAGGTTATTTGAAGTGTCTGGTGCTGACATTTAGCAAAATGTGAAATATGAATTGGAATAGCTGTTCATAGGTAGTGACGCAGCCCCACTGGAGAAGCACTGGACAGAATATGTTTAATTGTCCCAATTGCTCCCACAGTTTCAATCTTTGCTGTGCTTTTTTCTCTCCCACACACAAATTAACCCAGAAGCACCAGTAAAGGGGTACTATGTTTTACTACTGAGGCTTTTCTAATCTAGAGCTCTATCAGAAATGAGGGAGATTCTCTTCCATCTTGCTCTCGCAAAACAAAGTTTCGTGTCCAAAGGGATGCTTACACATGCATATCTTTCCTTTCACAATCACAAAAATTCCCCCAAATTCCCTATGCATGATTATCTCACTGCAAAAATTAACCAGATAAATCTGCCTCTAGGAAAAAAGCTGATCAGAAGAGAAAGACCAAGACATCAATAAGCTGTCCTTTTCCAGTTATTTATGAAAGGACTCACTGCAAGGAAACATTTTAAAGCAATATTCTTGGATGATAGTTGCATATAGTGCCATTATATGTATTAATTTACACTTCTGTCTACAAAAACCTCACCACAAGATGCTAAAACACTCAGCATTAACAGGGCTCAGCACTACAGAGCTCCCCAATGGGTGCAGTGGATGCTCTATATGACATTAGTGTTCAGAGCCACAAATGATCACGACTTCCAGGCACACAAATGCACACTGAGCAAATCAGTGTAAATCTTATGGCCTGATTTCTCTACATGCTGATTTTCCAAATAATCAAAGCCAAAACCAGAAACTGGATCTTAGCCTCCCTTGCAAAATCAGCAACAATTCAGAGCTTCAATCTAAGTTTTTCATTAACTTAAGATCACTTTGACTGGATTTTTATCGCTTAAACCAGAAATGTCTGCATTATCACAGCTTGTTTAAAGGAGAAAGAAACATCAGGGTAAAAAATACCAAGTGTTTATCTCCTTGTAAACATATGACAGCAACTGAATTTCTATGCAGAAACCATTAAATATTATCGAATCAATTTTAACATCTGCTAACACTGCGGGAATTGTCTGTCTGTGTATTCGTATTTACAAAAGCAGCCAGCAAGTTGGTGAAAAACAAAGCAGGAAAGTCCCCTGCAGAAAACCCTGTTGTAGTGAGCAGAACTGAACCTTCTTCACCAAGCAAGCCAGCATCCCATCCTACTGAAGTGTTCATGCCATTACAACCTACAAAAGATAACGGATGCCTCATAGGCACATTCCCTAAGTGAAACTATTTGCCAAACTACCCTGAAAATTTACAGCATGGATTTGCACACATTGGAAATATCCCCCTAGTCCTTCAATATGCTTCCTTAAAAAAAGATGCAGAACTCCAAGGACATGGACATGCCACAGCACCCCAAACACCTCGGCACTTCTGCTTCAGCAGTCACCAAAGACTTTGGGCCAGCCTTGGGGTTTATTTATCAGCTCTCAGTAGCCCTCACTGCTGTGGTTAAAGGTCAGGTTTTCCACCTTCACCTTCTATTATCTCCAAAATCATCCCGGCTTATTTTGGGGAATGCCTGTGTTTGCCCGCCTGCACAGGATGCAGATGTAGTAGTGCCATGCTGCTGCACACCACATCCACCTCCAAGCACAGAGGCCAACGTACCTTTTGAAAGGCATGTGGAGGGTTCCCAAAGCAGGAAACCCCTTCTCCCAGGCTTTTTACCTGTCTCCCAACCCGTCAGTCTCACACGTGCCCTAAGTCCTCACCGGTCAGGGACTGGTCCGCTCCCAGCACGTTCCATTCTGCCGGCAGTTTCAGGTGTCGAAATGCCAAAGCCACTTTCTCATCCAAGAAGTCCACATCTGCAGCGGGTGGTCTCGACCGGTCCAAGAACCGGGTGAAGTTGAGTGCCTGCTGGTTGCCAGCGCAGGTGGCCAGAAACTGGGCAGCATCATAGGCTTCATCCTGGACGAACTGGAAACTCTCTTCTGCCACAACCAGAACGGGGTGACCTTCTCGAGAGGCACAAAGTGCCACCTTCACTGTCTCACAGCAGTCATGGCCTGCAAAGTAAAACAAAAGGAAATGGTAAAAAAAGAACAGTTGCATGCACTGAAGAAACACAACTGAGAAACTCATTTGACACACATAGTCTTTACACTAAGTTAGGTAAAAGCAAGTTATTGAGGGTCACAACCTTAAACACTATCTTGGGAATTTTTATGTATCAGAGATTAATATTTCTTATAGACTTTAAAAAGAAAAGATGTGAAACTCTTCTCTGCCACAATATAAACCAAGAAATACAAACCACTCTTACCTGACCAGGCTATCTGATCAGTGACAAGTCAACTCGAGCAATAAGTAATTCAAGTGAAGATTTCGTTCACATACCAAAAGCCAGATTATACGGTCAAACTTTATTTTTCCAGCTCCAGTAACTAACCAGAAACTAGAATCCAAGTGCTGCAAAACTACGTACTCCAAATGCCGTCACAACACTTGGCTTCTACTGAAAACACCACAATTTAGCCTAAAACAAAGACCTAAATGGCTACAAGAGCCCAACCTGCCCAGGCATGCCCTGTGCTTGCCCTCAGCTCCCACCTTCACCACTGCACCTGCCCTTTGCTTGGGTTCACATGACAAAACAAAACCAAAGTTGCTTCTGCTAAATAAAAACGTGGAAATGGCCACTTTCCATATTTACAAAACAAGAAGGTTGGAAGTTTGATAACTTTATTTGTTTGCTTGTTTAGGGCAGGGGAAACAGAAGTAAGGATGCTCTGGCACGGCAGCAACTTCCTTGACTCGAAAAGTAATAAGAGAAATAAAATAAGCCCACAACACCTTTTTGCAATGTTCGACGGAAAAACATACTTTGTCCCCAACACAACCAGCCCTGGTAATTGTCAGACATGCCCCTTCCATAATAAGGTTTGTGTTTCAAGTTCACCGTGCAGCACAGTTTCTTGTTCCAGTCTCGGACTGACGTCATGGCTGTTTCTGCCAGAACAGCATGGACCCTGCACTAATTACTGGAAAAGCCTCTTTTTGCCCATGACCTCAGCATACTACTACATTCATGGAACCTTGCTTAATTAAATAAATTGTCATTTTGTATTTTTAAAGGCTTGAAAATTCACTTTAAGCTCCTATTTGTGGTCAGTGGGAAAGTTTCCTTCTTGTATCGGGGCCCTTTGCTGTTGATTTCCCTGACAAAAGGAAAAATATGTCCCTAATCTTCATGGTCTTTCAGCCAAACTTCCAAAGCTGTTCAGAGGCTCTTGGCATCTATACAGGTTTTGTCTGCTGAAAGAGGCGATCCTGAAGTTAATTGAAAGGTCGAAACTGCTATTAGGACACTGTGGGTAGCACCAAAATTGTCAGAGACGAGGCTGTGGGGCTTCCTAAGGAGAGCAAATGCAGCTGGAAAGGTATCAAAGACAAGTGTAGAAGGGGAGGAAAACACATGGATGTTGCTGGAACAGCTCACTACAACCAGCAGGCTCTGAAGCTGAAAGGTGAGAAAACTTCTTTCTTTCCAGCAGGAGGCATCTATTAACAAGAGGATGATGTGAAAGCTGAAGGAATAGGTTTACAAGCATTGATGCTATAAAAAGGAGTAAGGGCAAGACAACTTATTTCTACTGTTCTCAAATATTGCATGTGCATTCTAACACATCTCCAGTCAATGGGATGGGCAGGGAACTCAGCAGCCCAGATGAAACCCATTCAGAGTCCACTTGCCCTCACAGTAAAAGCCTAAAATGTTCAAGAGAGATGGTACAATTTTGAGGGAACTTGCCTTTAATGCAGTTCAGAACTCTACATCCCTCCTCCTACACCTTCTTGCTTTGCTCCTCTTCCTAAGGACATCAGAATAAGCAGCAGGCAAGACTTATGTTTATAGCCCCCACAAAAGCAGCGAGTTAGATGCAAGCTGTAAAGAAGGCCATGGCACACCAGAGGAACTGACTCAAGCGCTACAAGCGTGGTTTTCCCTAATGCAAAGCAGTGGAAGGTTGCTAGAATGCAGAGTTAAAAAAAATATAATAAAGGGCTCATGAATAGCATGAGAAAAGCAAAGCCTTTGATTTCTGTTTTTAAACTGTTTTCTGTCTATCCCCACGAGAATCCCATCTGCAAAATAACCTAGAATATGGCTACTCTGACAGAAAGCCCAGAGGACTTCCAGGATTGAAGCAGAAGGCAAATACGGCCTGTGAGCAGCTACAGAAATACACTTTGGGACAGGCACTTCCTTGTCATGAAGCCAAACAACTCTTCCGGGGGACAGCAAAAGCTCCTCCATCGTGACAGTAACTAGAGAAACCTCAGTCAAGACATATAGTCTCCTTAAACCAGTACACATGGATGTACACAAAGTTCCCCTGGATGGAGGGGATGTTAAACACCAGCCCCAAAATTAAGCAAAGCTATAGGATTGTTCAAGGCAACACAAGGAGAAGTGATAAAAAGGCCATGTCCTGATCTGAAGCCAATGATGGTTCTCATGAAACCCCCCCAGATACCGAGTACAGGCTCGAAAAGGAGGTGACAGAGCTGATGATCCATCTTCCTCTAATAGGATCAAACAAGCATCGTGCTAAACCCTGGGGAATGTTCTTCGAAAGGGCAACTGCTCTCAACACTTTGATGTTCTCCTTCCTTACATCTGTGAAGATGTCAGACTGGGGGGGGTCAGAATCTGGGACAGGTTGTGACTTCTGGCAAACAGTTCAAACAGACGAGGAGCCAGTAAGTAACAAGCACAGCCAATACTAAAGAGATTGCTCAAGAGGTCTCTGCCCCCCTGCTTTGAAACCGCTACAGGAACGATGTAAGCAAACATGTCCCCTGTACATGAACCTTTTGAAGGAACTGTTGGTGGGGCAATGCTTCTGTTCAGGTCAAAGTCCATTGCTTCCTTCGCCTAGACTAATATCGGAACTTCAACAGCCCTTTTTCCCAGAGCTTTAGCAAAAGTGAGCTAAGCTTTCTGGCACTCTCGGGAGATAAAGCAGTTATCATCTGTAAAACTAGCTCAGATCTGTTTTTACAAGGTTAAGTAACTTGCCCAAGACCACAAAGAGCTTCAGGCAGTGCCAGGACAGACACTATTGCTCTTGATCATCTCTTTTCTGCTCCGGCTGGTAGATAGTAGGGCTTTCTCCTACCACGGGTTAAGCACCAGGGATCAGCATAATCGACTATCGACTGCAACTCCTTCATACACCTTCCCCAGAAGTGGAATAGAAAAATGTCTGACTCATTAAAAAGGAAAAAACACAGCTGGGTGTGTCAGGAAGAGCAATAAGCCTATGTAGAAAGGTTTGCATTTTGGTAGGCTGGAAATGTGTGTGCCTGAATAAATCACACAGATGAGTGCACCCACAGAAGGAAAAGAAATGTCCGTGCTTTACAACACCGTCAGGTTCACGATGCTGCCCAGCACCTCTCCTGAGTGCCTTCAGTCTTCTCCAGAAATCAGGCCCTTTGGCCACAAGAGCATTAAGAAGTAAATGATGAAATAGTGAATGTCATGTCTGTGGCTACGGTTCTCTTTGTACGTTTTATTCCACAGTACAAAATTAGGTCATTTATACGCTAGCTTAACTGTGATTGAGAATCAAATAACCCACCCCTTAATTCTTCCCCATTGCATTTTACCCCATTTCTCTTTCTGCTGCTCAGTTCCTCTAAATTTAGCTTGGAAACAATTCACTGCTTGGAGCTGTTTTGGGAAGTGCCAACATATTGCAGGAAAATTACAGAAATTAAAACAACATTTCAGTCAATGCAGAGATGGGCTCAGTGGCTGCTTCTGTTGTGATAAAGCAAAACCCTCATCTTCACGTAAAACCACACTTTAGGAACTATTTTAAATGAGAACACAATTCAACTAAAGAATTCCTTATTGGGCCGCTGAAGCTTGCTTTGGGGAGAACACAAGAACAAGAAATAAAGACATGGAGTTCTTGTCTCTCTGTACTTATCCTTGAAGAGATGAGATGCATCAGTATGATAACACTGCCTCCTCTACACAATAACAATGCAAAACAATGAGCAGGAGAAAAGGTGGAGTTGTAAGTCATTAGCAGACAAGTTAATGTATGGCCTTAGACTTGTCCATCTAATTGGTACCTATGGCTTTGATCTGGGGTGTGGTTAAAAGGGCAGCAGCAAAACTCTTCAGACCTTTTCTCATTAAACAAGGCACACATGAAGACAAAACACCCCTAACACAGAGCTTTAATAAAAGATGATTTCATTTCCTACTCCTCTAAAAGTGGAAATCCTGTCCAAACCCCCTATTTTCAGAATTCACTTTTGAGCTATCAAACAATGGGCCCCCAGCCTGGGCAGCTATTTAAAGCCCTGCTGGAAGCACATGTTTGGGTTTGCCTGGTAGGTGACTAAGGACTCCAGTGCTAATTGCATCCTCTGTGTTACCATGGTGGAGCTGGGTTGAAAGAGGTCTTATAAAGAGATTCAAGCAGGACAGGGAAGCCAGCCAGCAAACATGGTGTGAATCTCATGGAGTTATCTTGGATTTCCAACCAAGAAATGTTGCCATCTACTGGCTTGTGGACAGGGAAGCCACGAGATCTCCCGTGGCCATCCAAAAAGTGCTTCTTTTCTGCTTCAGAAATCCCAAATTCTGGTTCTGAAAATCAGGACCCATATTTGACATGTGTTTGTGTGATTTGCACAGTTATTGTGTTCACTCTTCCAACACAGGAAATGCTATGAAATACAGAGGCACAACACCAGCAGTAGACAGGAGCCTTTGTTTTTCCTTTTAAACCCTTAGCTATTAAGATGAGGAATGTAGGAAGATTTTTATATGGCCCTTTAAAGAGCAGATGGCCTAAAAACCTATAGAAGTGCAAGACCCCACACATAACATCTTAAATAATTTCAATACAGATTCAATCACTTTTTCCTATGACTGATGTCATCTAGGACTGGCATCACTTCCTTTTCATACACTGCCTAGAATAATTAAGTACACCAAAGAGGATGGACTGCAAAATGTCTTCTTGGCTATGCTGTTTTATTCTATTTTAGGGGGTTTTTTTGTTTCATAATTAAGAGTATTTTCAAATCCACAACTGGTATTGCCAAGTGGTCATTTGTTATGAAACTTGTTTACCCTTTTGGTCTACCAGTACAAAGATTGTAATTCATCAAACACAGCTTTTTCTATGAAGAGTTGTTTCTTAAGGGAAAACACAGAAGAAAATGAAGCAAAAACATATGTAAAGGATTTCACACTAAAAGAAAAGTCTGAAATTAAGATACTTCCTAGCTAATTGAAATTCATTTTAGTCTATGCTTTTAACTAGCAGGAAGAAGGTAAAGAGAAAAGAACAGAAACACAACACAGAAAGCAAACCCTTGAGAACTATGGGATTAAGAACAAGTTAAAAACTGATCCTGTTTCTCCACCTTAGCTTAAGTATGGAGAGAAAGCTCCCAGTGAATCAAGGTACTTGGAGTAAATGGGAGTGCTTCACCCCTGTGGAAACTGCTGGCAACCAGCTACCATCAGACAATCTCAGGCCCTTTTTCTGCCCCTCATTTTGTTCCTTCTCCCCTTTGAAACCTGTACAAAAGTCCTGCACCTTCTGAGATCAACCAAATCTGAGTAAAGTGATTTATGTATTACAGAGCAAAGGCTCAAAGCGATACAACATATTGCAACAGTACATACAAAATTACCTTATTGTTTCAGTGACTTGGCTCATAGACAGGGTATTTCTTACCCTTCACTTGACTAGGAGCTGCTGCAGCTCTGGATTTACCACACTGGACTGCCTCTCCCTGTTTGAAACTTCATTTCAGATTTCCTCCACTGAGCTCTTCTGCATCTCCCACTTACCACACACCAGTCTTTACATGCAAAGCAAACTTTGTGTCCAGTAATACAGCTGTTATCATGATAGCACACAAACCTGCACAAACACACCACAAAAATGCTCAAGCTCCCAGCACATCAGCTTGCTTTGTGAGCCTTCTCCTGCAAGAATATTCTCCCAAATCTGCCCAGGAGCTTCCCGATGCTGATATGCTTCTAGTGCCCACAGCAGGCTGCAGTTAGGGCTTTTAACTCGTGTGGACAGGGATGAGGATGTCCCTTCTTCTGTCAGTTTGTTTGCTGGATCATGATATGAGGCTTTTTATTATTAGCTGGTTTTCTTTTCCAGTGGGGGAAAAGCGGATGCAGACCATGAGGCTGCTGTCTTTGCACTGAGGTTTCACTTCCCTACTTTAACGCAGACTTTCTACACTACCACATACAATCTACTTGGCCATTCAATGTCTCAGTTACCCTCCCTACCCTGCAGAGACGTTGGGAAGGAGAAAAAAATACACTAAAGATTATAACAGTGTCAGCTACTACAGCAGTAAGGGCTTGCTAAAAAGCTCAGTTTATGACCAACACTAAGTAGGGATGATGCATCCATGACAATACATGTACATATCCATCCCCAACAGTACAATTTGAGCAGCAGCAACAGTTCAGCCACAGCAGCAGAGCTGATATCATTGAATCATTTCAGTTGGAAGCCATTCCAATTCAAAGCCATTGGCGGTTTCAGATGAGTTAAAGCTCATCTAGTTCCACCCCCCCTGCCACAAGCAGGGACACCTTCCACTAGCCTGGCCTTAATCACACCTCTGCATCCTTCCCTGCTTGTACCTTTGGTATTTTAGTATCTCCAGCAACCAAACTTTTGCAGCTAGTGATATCCAAACTTGAGCAACATCCATGAAAAATGAAAAAAATACAGTGGCCATCTTTTAGCCACTCATTCCAGAAGAAAAATCCCCTTAGCCCAAATTTTTATCCACGGGAATCTCTCATAAAACAATAGTCACAAGACAGACAAAAGGCAAACCTGAGAAACACACTATTGCTTAAGCTATACTGTGTACAGTGAAAATGTCAGGCGTTTTTCTCACACTAGTATCAATGTGCTGCATAGCAACAAGTCAGAATGAAAGGTTAATGGTAAGGACTGTAGCCTGGAACACGCTCATTCCCACGGTCCTGAAGTCACCAAAGGGAAATGCTGCGCCCATCTGTTTTGTTTTGTTAGTGGTACACAGGCTTAGAGAGAGCAGTGGGCTTTAATGTGACAACCCACCCCACCTGAACTGGGTGTGCTGGAGGGATGGCACCAAGCACCATACCCTGCCGGCCACTGCAAGAGCTTCAGGAACTCTGTGTCGGTGTTGTGTAACAGGATTTAAGGGAAAAGGGTTATATTTCACCAGATCTACAGCAAAACCCTCTCTGAGTCAAGCAGAGCAGATCCTAAGCATAGCTAGGACTCACCAGGCTGTACAGCATTTGGATAACTGCATCTCTCACCTGGCAAATGTGTCTTCCATTATCTTGCTTGCATTTAAAATCTTGTTACTAAGTGTAAATGTAACTGTGTATTTTCTCCAATGGAATCCCACAGTTACACATCAAATAATTGCAATCTCAGAGTCATGTAATTCTAGTGAAATCGAGTAAGAGAATTTTAAAAGGCAAAAGCAGTCATCCAAACCACACGTCCTACTCTCTATGAATGTGAAAATGAGGAAAAAGACAAGAAAACAGCATTACATTGAAGCCTACTTGAATTAACCAAATTTCATAGACTGATACACAAAGAAAGGCAATTGTTTACCAGGTGAAATGGTCTCCAGACTCCCAGGATTTATCTTTCTTGTGCTTGTGCAGTGTTGGACAGTTGACCCAGTGAAGACCAAGTAAAAAACTACATCATCTTCAACTTTATCTTCCTCAGTCAGCTGCACGGTAATAACAGAGTCACCCTAGAGAAAAAGACAAGAAAAAAAAGGTTAGTTTTACACTTGCAAGAACTACATCATATAAAATAAATCAAAACTTCTCTCCCTACAAGGTTCCCGCTCCCTGTTCATATGCTCCTTTCACTCAGCTCAGGCCCATCCTAATTTTCAGGTATTCAAGTCATCCTTTGCATGCCTCTCAGCATCCCAGCCAGCCAACCAGCTAGAAAATATGCTGACTGCAGCTCTGAGAAGAGTTGTGTGGAAATCTCAAGGGTATATTCCAAATAGCAACTTAATATGGTGAAATCACACCAAGTCTGACAAACATGAGCACGCATCCCACACAGGGTATTTTTTATACCATACACACACACACATATATGCATACCTAAAACAACAGAATGGGATTAGTGGCCTAAAATTGCCTTTGTCTTCAGGAATTTGAACAAATTCCCTAAATCTTGCTTGAGTGTTCACATTTCCCCTGTCTAAGAAAAGCCACTGTGTTGATAGTTCCAGTGTAACCAACTTAACCACTGAGCACACCTCATCCACAATCCATAAACACATAAAGATATGGAAGTTTCATATGCCAGATTTCTTCCACCTTCTTTACAAAAAAAACCCAATAACTGGCTGTACAGGCGCTATCCCTTCTCACCCATTTATAAGCTCACGCCTTTACATTCTCAAAACCAGCAATTCTTCAAGCCCTAAAAAGAAACCTGTCATGATCTGTTGGCTGAACGCTCCTGCTTTGCTTTAGGGAGGTTTTGTTTCAGTATCTCCGCATATTCTGTCATTTTACTCATCTTTGCTATGAGCAAAAACCACGTTCCTGAAGAACACACATGATTATCATAGTTAACCCAGCACAGGACACAGTAAATACACCTGCAATTCATACACTTGCATGGACAAGAGCAGGAGCAATATCCTCCAACATCCTTCAGTTTTCCATGAGGAAGGGAAAGCAAGGAAAGAGGATGGCTTGCAGTTAGCACAGGACTAAATGGAGCATTTTCATTTGATCTCACCATACATCATTTATCTGCCTGAGGAATTACATAAACTACAACACGGAGAACAACAGGCTGCGACGTGACCTTCTGCCCCTTTTCCATCAAGATCAAAACCAGTTGGATGTCCTAGTTTTATGCTGCAGCTGCATTAGCCAGCTCTCTGCCACCACCCCATTAAGCATATGGTTAAGGCTGCAAATCTGGAAATGATGTTTGCATTATTACGATTATTATTGCAGATTGCATAAGTCTAATTTGTATATCCAACAGAATACACATGTAGATTCATTCAAAACCTTCCTCTTGAGCTCGCTCAGTTCATCCCTTCTCTTTGTCAAATATATCTACTGCAGAAAAATCCCAGACTTCCAAGCCCTCCCCTACACCAATGCTGTGTTAACATTGCTTCCCACACTCTGTCTCCCCCTGTTTTCCCTCATCTCAGCTCCCTTTACATCCCATCACAGCTTCCTTCTCCAAGTTCATGTCCAGTTCTCTGATCTGGCCTGTCTGGGACCTCTTGCCAGGGGCAGATCTGCACCTTGTTTTGATAGAAACAAGGCTTTGCAGTGCAGTACACAACCAGCCCCTAGTCTTAAAAACAAATATATGGGTCAGTATTATAAGACACAAGAAAGAAAACCAAGAATTCCAAACAGATAAATGGAGCAGTGAGTTCAGTTTGTGTTACCAGAGGCTGCAGTTACAAATGCACATTTTAGGAAGGTTTCACGTGATAATATCAGACCAGACTTCCAGCTGGGGAGAAAGAGCTATGTAGCAAAAGTGTATCTTGTCTATAGTCAGTGTTAAAATGAAAGCAGGTGCAAAAAGAAATAAATCAAGCTTTAAATTCAAGCATGACCAGTTCACATGCTGAGTTGGAAACTAAATATTCCATTTCAAGCGAATGGATCCAGTTTTGAGCGGATGTTCAAAAAAACAAAAGCTAGAGCTTTAACCCACAAATCCTGTGTGCTTTGGTTTTTATATCCGTCTTTGTTCAAACTGTTCCTCCCTTAAGGGATGAACATATAAAGTATTTCAATGTACTTGAAATGCAGGTAACATTTCAGGACGCTCATCAACAGGGCTGATTGTTTAAAGTGGTATCTGGTAAAGGAGAGTTTTCTTTCATTTAACTCAGAAATCAAGTTCAGCTACTCCAATTCTGATGTAACTGGAGCCAATCTGCACAAGGTGCACGTGAGAAGGCACATGTCTGCCCATGTGAACTACTCACATTTCAAGGAAAAGCAATTTAATTTGCAGCATTATTGCAAAACCTAATTTGTACGTTTTGTTATTGATAAAACCTACATACACGTAAGAAACCTCAACACCACAAGTTCCATGTAACCTGAAATTTGTCTCAGCTGGGACTTAAAAAGTGATATCTGAACTTCTTATACAGAAGCAATAGCTAGATAAATAGACAGATAATATACCTGACCTAATTTTGAAGGTGGCCCTGCCTTAGAGGGTGATCAGACCAGATGACCTCCAGCCATCCTTTTCAACCACATTGTACCACTCTTCATATGTTCATTCTGTTTATTTCAGTTACTGGTTTAGTCTAAGGGAGCACAATTTATCACCAGCTTATATCACTTTAAGAGGCTCTTCAACTGCATCCAAGCACTTTATGGTGGGATGGTCTCCACCACCATGCTCCCTCCCTCCTCCTCTTCTGGAGGACACTACAGCAAAAGACTGAAGTGGAACACCCAATATCCTTCTTATGATAACTGAGCATGTTCTGTATTTTTTTACTCGAAGTTTAAGTTGTCTCCCAATACCTTCAGCAAGACCAAGAATGTGCCACCTGATTGTTGTGTGCTTCACTTTCCTTACAGGCATTATCTGATCTCTTTGCTGTACTGTTCCCTGAGACAGCTCACTGTGCATGATGTGATCTGAGGCACTAAATAAGACCATCCTCCTTCAACACACGTTCTCTGCTTCCTTTTTATTAACAATTTTGTTGTCTGCTGCCAATTTTAATTTGATTTTTAAAAATCGTATTCAAATAACGTATTTATTTGAAAAGGAAATAATGTACTGAACAAACCCTTTTCTTTCCAACATTTTTGGAGTTAAAAGAAAATCAATTACAAATGCAGTCAAATTCCTTCAACCCACATAGAAGCCTTTCCAACAGCCCTATTGCATTCAGCCTCCAAAAACATTTTAATTGAAGTATGTTTACCTTTATTCATTTAATATTGTCCAAAAAATGTCATCTGTTCAGCATCACTGCCACACAAGGTGGTTATTATAACCCTTCTTTCATCCCAAATGGCTAGAAATGGGAGGCCAGCCTGCCAATATCCCTTTGGTGAAAGTACAGACAGATCAAAGCTATTCTCTGGAATGCTCCAACAAATAAGAATAATTTAATTTCAAAACTAGTTTGGATCGACTAATATTTACTTGGCTTAAAGCCCATTGGAAATGAAAACATTCCATTTTGGTCCATTCATGAAAGAGGTCACCCTCTCCCTTGTTCAGATCTGAAAATCTCTCGTTTCAGATAGCTGAAATGGGACGTAAAGAAGGTGGATGTGGTTCTTTCCTCTATTCCCTTCCTCAAACCAAAGGAGAAAGCAGGTTTGCTTCGCCAAAGGACGGGTGCACTGGAAAAGCCAAGCCTGACCTTGGGCTTTAAACTACTATAAAACAATTCAGAAAGGGATTTGAGAGTGGCACATCTCTGAACCTCAGGCTTAGTCAGGGCAGCAGAAATGCAATTATCTCTAAAAAGGCCCAAATGCTGTCACTAGGTCTAAAAACCAAAACTAGGTAGACAACACACCTGTTTGTCAGCATATTTTCCTGGCATTAGGACAATTCCACCTTTTCAGGTATTTATTTTTCCAGTGCTGCAGTCAAAAGCACGCGGATTATGCGAAGGTAAAGTTCAAGCAACTGAGTAATCATTTCTTCTTTCTCAGACTTGGTTTCTGTGCCTGTTACAACAAACTATTTACCTTCAAAGGCTTATTTTTCTTAATAAATGGCCTCAGCATTATTTGGAAGTGATGATGAAGCGAAGAAAATCCTTAAGCTCAAAAGAATTAAGATCACTTATATTATTAACTCAAAAATGCCATCCACCTTCCATAAAGAAGTAATTGTTTTAAGCATGTAAAGACATCTTTCTTTTCCACTTCAAGCTTTGGAAGTATGACTGGGATTGGGGAACTGGGCATCGTATCAGCTCTACCAGCAGCAGGTACATTTCTCTACAATGGACTACAAAGGGAAAAAGAGTATTCTGTGAGGGTGCTGAGGCACTGCAACAGGTTGCTTGAGGAAGGAAGTTGTTAATGCTCCATCCCTGGCAGTGTTCAAAGCCAGGCTGGATGGAGTCTTGGGTGACATGGTTTAGTGTATGGTGTCCCCGCCCATAGCAGGAGGTTGGAACTAGATGATCGTAAGGTCCTTTCCAACCCAAACTATTCTGTGATTCTTAGCATGCTGGCTTTCAAATTTTAAAGTTTCTAAAAATAAATTTAAAAAAACCCAAAACACTAAAAAAAACCCCACCAAAAACACCCAAAAAAAGGCAAGCTGTATTTTTATAGCTGAAGCATGTGATCTCTAAGCTGGTTTTCCCCCCTATGGGTCATAGTGAGAATTTTGAAGTACATTACCTAATCTACTAACCACCCAACTCTGGCCTCCGCACACACACAGAGTCTAAAAATACTTATGAAAATGAAGCGTGTATTAGACAGCATTATTTGAGCATTCTGCTTTTAATAAGAACACACCAGTCTCCATGATTTGTTCTACATAGAAAAGCAAAATTGCTGCTCATGACCACTGCCATCTCTGCTGGTTTTTGCACGCAGGAAGATCCTAGCCAGTGCAATTCCACTGAATGGAAAGTCCACGGGTTAGAGATGCACAAGCAAGGAAGGAAACCTGCCTCCCAATATATTTTCTTCTAAGAGCTGTTGTAGACATCAGCGTTACGCTGCTTCATTAAAGAGG